TTTACAAAAACGTCATAGTTTGTTGGAGGGAAATTTAACTGAAATATAAATTTAATTTGGTATTCATAGGTGAAGTATAAGTTTGTAATATTCAGACAAGCAGTAGCAGTGATTATTCTTGTCAAACGATCTATTTATTTTTGTTACATTTAAGTGTGTACATTATGGCCTATGGCCAATGGTACTGAATAAATATATATATTACTACGACTAAGAAAAAAGATAGTATGCGAACGACGTCCGGTTCAGACCAAATGTTCGTACGTGAATGTGTCTGAGCAAACTATTTGATGAATTAGTTTTCGACTATTGATGTTTTTAGAAGGGGCAGGTCATGCTAATCACTCACAAATGCATACAACCATGGAAGACACATTTCATTCCACCAGCCTGACCAAGTTCTGAAAAATGTGATATAAAGTAAGTTATAACATTTATTTCTGCTGTGAATGGAATGTTGACCACTGTGTCTAATTATTTTCACGAACATACTACTTGATTGCGGAGTAGTTACACCACGAAAGTCCGAATATTTTGAAAATTTATGTTACCTCATGTCAGTGGTTGAAATCGACAACAGCGTGGTGAAACAAACTAGTAAGAGTCAGTAGTTATTCTAGTACTTGAATATGCAACCAAAAACATTAAATAAATGTTGTGCCAACTTTTCTCACACAGGTTAATTTTGTTTTAAGCTACCAAAATCGTGAATCTAAAATGTCCAATCAATATTTACGTTTTATATATTTTTATTTTATTACAGTATTATAGGCCGGTGGCTTTATATACAACAAACAATCACAAAAAACAAACAAACAAACAAAGGAATGAGCATGCTATCTTAATCAACATTGGAAATAATAATATTGTCTCTTAATTTGAAACCATATAATATAAACTTAGATAAAGACAGAAGTAAAAACGGGTTATGGGAATTTAGAAGTGAAGTAAATTTTATTTCTGATAGGTATTTGTAATAGTAAGGAGGACAAAATTTGTCTCTCAAATGTTTGTATAAGGGACAATCGCAACAAAAAGAAAATATTTACGTTCACAATCACTATGTTAGCAAATTGTCTCAATATACTAATTTTTAATGCATACACATCTTTGTAAATGTGTATATTATATCACCTAATTACCATACTGACTAAATTTGAGAAATTGAAATATAGGGGTTTGCAGACAAAGAACGAAATCTTACGAATTGCAATGTACACATGTCATGATGATCGATATGATGTAATGTATGGACCAAAACGTCAGAGACACACCAGTTGAGTCAACACTTCTGATTGCGGGTGAATATATAGAATGTAACGCGATCTTATAATTCCACTTGACCACAATATGACCAACCAGGATAACTATTTAGAAATAATGTGTATTAAAGCAGAATAATGCACTTAATTTTAGAGGTTTCAGAAAAAAAGTCAATATTCTCTCAAATGTGCATTTGTCCACACACCATTAAGTGGAAGCAGATTACATCATTTTGTACTAACACAGGGTTGCTATAGACAAGCTTTTCTGCGACTTCCTCACTTTTAAACGCGGCTGCGCCCGGTTTATTTCTCGTAGTAACACGTTTAACACCCAATACAATCACAGGACGCTACAGTGGTAAAGTCAATATACTCAACAAATGGATTTGTTTCAATTGCTATTCATTGCCAGCGTGACCTGAATTTTTAACAAGGCTGCGTAGGTTTACACAAATAGTATAAGACAACATTCTTGTCGGGAACGTACACGTTTTTGTTGTTGCTCAGTACCCTGGGTCACGTACCCGGGGTTATGTTGCTGGCACGGCCTTATCGGTTAGTAACGAGTCGAATCTATACGCAATTATAGTACATTTTACCATAGACCCTCTAGTGGAGGGTTATGATTTTACCAACAAAAAAACATCAACAAACATTTGTTTTTTCAGAAAATGAAACTCGGTTACGGTTGCCATGACAAATATACACACTTAAGTTGAAAACAATGGTTATCTAAAATATTCTACAGTGAACTCTCACCCGCTACATAGCTTTGTAAAGCCTTTTCGTGTGTTTATTTTCACAATGCTGTATTTAGCCGCAGGTCGCGACAGTCAGTGCGCATAACCGGATGTCACGTGTTTTATACATATTACTTGATTGGCAGCCCACTGACCTGTCAGTGTACTTTGGCAATCTTTGAAATTGTTTCTATTAAACATTGCACTATAATTCAGGTCATATTTTGACCAATCACAAAACGTGCTCAAACAAATCACGAAGGACATTACAAAATACAGACCCGATTAAATTAATCAAACGTGTTAATATTTTGGTTTAACTAATGTGGTGTACGGACAGGATATGAACACCATAAAATTACAATATACATTTTTAATTTAATTGTTTTATATTCTCGTTGTTTACTGGGACTGGATATATATACAAACTCTTAAGCAGGTCAGACACAACATTGGTAAAACGTGCTTTAAACCACATACTTACTGTAGAAACTCTCTCTCTGGCTGGGATTCATTTTTATCTTGAGTAGAACACATTGCAAACATTCCACTCTCACTCAATTCAATTCTTTTCTTTTACAGAGTGTTTTGAGACAAGTCGTTTCTACTTCCGTATATCCTTTGCTGCCTTCGCGCAAGAAAATAAAAATAGGTACGTACCCCGGGTCATGTGTATACCATTCTTGCTGTGGAGTATGTGACATAGTTTCTATTTTTACTTTGCTCATAATGATAATGGAGAGATGATGTACTAGTATATCACATCTGTCGTTGTCGCTGTCGTCGTCATCGTTGTTGTTGTTGTATAAACCAGGCGGAGTAGTCTGTCTGTGAGTAGAAACATGACACCAATACTCGTGTAGTAAACGAGTTTCGGGTTTTCGGGCGTGTTCCCTGGTCCCGAAGCCTGGTTACCCCGATTTTTCAAAAGTTGAGTAGACATATTATTTGTTGTTCTCAAGAAATGTCTTACAAAGTTTCGTACAGATATCAAAATGATATATATATATTGTCGAACTCATTGTCTGTGTATGATAGACTATCCTCCGTTCACTGCGAGATCTCGCGTTATGCTTGAAATCGCACGTAAAACAAATGTCATAGCGTAAAAAGAGGGGGGGGGCAAGGGTTATTTTCGTTCAACGTAATTGCAATATTTTTTTGTTCGTACAACGTAAATAGAAAAAATAAATTCCGTAATTCTGTAATCACCGGCTAGACGTACAATGTAATCAATCAAATATTTTTTTCGTACACTGTAAAAATGTATCATTTTTCTCGGTACGTACAAGAATTTACATCCTAATAAAAAAATCGTAAAAAATAATCCAGGGAAATTACATTTTAGAAACTGTAAAACGACAAGATGACACAATTTACTACAAAATTGAATGTCAAGACGTAAAAGGCCCTCTAACTGAATGAAGAGCATTACAAGGGTAGTATGCGCATGCGTCTCTACACACGGCGCAGTAATGGCGGAGAATTTGAGTTGGAGAGCTCTTCGGACCATTCAATGTTCCATTTTTTAACACTATAAACTGTAAACACGTCTTTTTGACTCCCATGTGCGAAGCACAAAATGGGAGTCTTTGCAGTTAGTGTGTCTGTATGTGTGTATGTGTGTATGTGTGTATGTGTGTATGTGTGTATGTGTGTCCGACTGTTCCACTGCTATCTCAAGAACCATACATTGGTTTTTGATGAAACTTGGTGCATAGATGCTCTGGGCCAATGCGCAGATTTGATTAGGTTTTGGTAAAAATCCATGCTCGTTAATTACCTAATTTGCATGATAATTAGCTAATTTTTAGCTGTTCTATGACTGTTCCACTGATATCTAAAGAACCACTCATTGGATTTTGATGAAACTTGGTACATAGATGCTCTGAACATATGCGCAGATTTGATTAATTTTTGGTAAAAATCCGTGCATATTAATTACCTAATTTGCATGATAATTAGCTATTTTTTAGTGGTTCCATGACTGTTCCACTGATATCTAAACAACCACTCATTGGATTTTGATGAAACTTGGTACATAGATGCTCTGAACTAATGCTAGGTTTTGATTAGTTTTTGGTAATAATCCGTGGATACTAATTACCTAATTTGCATAATGATT